AAAATAGACGTTGGTTGAACACCCACATCATGAGATTATTTACCTAAGTCCGGGACTCATGACAACGCATCACGTAATAATCCCAGAGTATACTTATTATAATGAGATTGAGTAACTGTAAAATTTTCATTATTAGATATTGATTAAACACCTATGTCACAATAACATCTATCAGAAGTCTGATCGTGATAACACACAGTTATTATTATCACTTTTATATAATTTTTAATTAATTATTATAATTAGTCAATATCTTGCTTATCAATATAAGAACAATAACAACAGGATAATAGCAATTTATTGGATAAAAAATCTGTAAAATCTGATATCACTTCATGATGTGATTTCTGATGATACAAAAAAATCTTCAGATAGTATTTTTGAAGTATTAAACTTTTGGTTCTGCTTTATATTTTATATTAAAGCTTTTTGCAAACCAATTTGCAGGTCAAATATAGAAATAACAAATAGTTATTTTGGTTTATAAGCTTTTTTATGTGAAATTTATTAATAAATAAATTAATACAGAATATAATAAATAGAAATTTTGATTTGCAAGCTGATTTATAAGAAACTTTATTTTATATTATAATTTATTAAAGTTATATTATAATTTATTGAAGTCATAGAATTATATTATATTATTCTAGTTTATTATTAAACAAATATATTTTATTTATTTTTAAATATATTTTTAAATTTTTTTTTATTTTAACTTAGTAAAATTATATAAATAATATATAATTATTATAAGTAATATATAATTATCATAAATTTTACTAAAATAATTTTAATTTTAATTTTAACTTAAATAATAATTATAAACTCACAATTAAAACAAGAAATTATAATAAATTTAAAATAATTTGGTAATTAAAATAAGAAATTAATTAAATAAAAGTTATTTACTAGTTAACAAATAATTAAAGCTAACTTATTCTATTAATTTTAATATTAAAATGCATGTTATATTTATAAATAAATTATAAAATTTCATTTTTCAATAAAAATACAATTTGAATCAAAATTTAAACTGAAATTCAAATTGAAATACAAACTAAAATTCAAATAAAAATTCAAATAAAATTCAAATAAAAATTCAAATTTCCAAAAATAATTTAATTAATTAAAATATAACCCAATAAAAATATAAAAAGATAATATAAAAATATTAATTTAATAATGTTAGATTTTTATCTAACTTGAAAGTTAAATATGTAACTATCCAAAATTATAATAGTATTTATTTATTATTTTAATTAAAAATAAATGTATTTGTAATAACTATTATTTGTGACAATTACATTTTAGAATCTGAATTAGAATTAAAATTAAGCTTTTGAATATGTTATATGTAACAGTTGTTACAATTAAATTGATTCTTTAATTATAGTGACTTTCTTTATAATATATTCCCATTATAGTGAACAAATTACTAATTGTTAATTAGTAATTAATTGGATGACCATATTAATAAGATGCTGTATTAATGCCAGAATTATCAAATATGAGAATACGAAAACATGTATAGTGGAGACTAATTAAATTTACATTATATTCAAAACTGCCTCTAATAAAATCCACTTGATATAGTAGATTTAATAAATTTCCAAACACTCTCGATATAAATATTGATCGATTGATCAATCGATTAGTACTGCAAGCCGACTGAGTCTCTGTGAAGATTTTGAGGCTCAGCTGTTCAAATTAGAAAGTGTAGTATTCAGAACAGTGTTTAAAATCCATTTAAAAATTAATCTGCGCGCACGCATACTTTCAAAATAATCTATTTGCGCAAAATCTTCTCAATATGCGCATGATATAATAACAATGCCTCATATTATTGAATTTAAAATTTAAGTATGAATTTTTATCTGCGAAACCCGCAAATTTCTTTAAAAACTTATCTGCACAACCAGTCTCCAATCTGCGGCGCGCAGGTCGCTGATTCAGAACCAGGGAGTAATAATGAATATCGATGTTTTTGTATAATTTTCCTTTTTGGAAAATTAATATCAACCGAGTCGGAGAATTTTTAGTGGCTTGCAGCACTACCGAGTACAATTGATAAAAAAAATTAATTTTGGTGTGTTTTTACTGGTTCCATGTTCTGAAGTATTTGAAATAATAAATACATTTCGCCATATTTTTTAAAAAGTGGATGTAAAAATTTGAAATTTTAGTATAACGATAACATTCTACGGGACATTTCAAATTTATGCAAGTTTTTTCATTAATTTCCACACGATTGATTGTCTCATAAAAAAGTGTTCAGTGACTTTGTCCGCCACCTTTTCTCTGAATGCTAATCAGCATAATCTTTGAGGTTATCGTTATATGAATCGACGATCACATTTGGACAATTCAATGTTGGGTAAATTCGGGCCGGAATTATAGCCAAGTTTTCATCAGTTAACTAAGGGTGTATTTTTGCTATTTGGGTTTCAATTTCCATTTTTCCATACGTACTCACATAAATTCACAATACAAAGAGACAAAGAGTTTGCAGTGATGGAAAGTGATGACACTATACTTCTGAAAACATTTAATGAAGTAGAGTTTGATAACAATATTAATAATGCAAAATCATTAGATTGTAGTAATAATAGTAGTAATAGTACTGTAACAATAAGACGTGGTAGTACTTCACATACGACAACAATGTCAAACATGCTAAGACAACATAATGAAGTGGATGGAGAAAAAGGAGGAGTAAATTCACCATCAGATTCTTCAAACATAATCATAACATTACCATTGGGTGGTGATTCCACCATTACGCTAGATCGTTCTCCAAACGCGGTGCAAAATTTTCTAATAGAACAAGAACTAAAACAACGATCAAATAGTATTGCGCTGCAAACGGTTCTCACGAATTTAACCTATATTGCGATTTGGTATTTTTTCTCGACCGCACTCTCGTTCTATAATAAATATTTAATGGGAAAGAATAAATTTGATTTGAGTTTGCCAATATTGGTGAGCGCGTTACATGCTGCCATGCACTTTGCGATTACTTCGGTGTTGATGCGCGGGACTTGTCCTGCGGTATATCGAAAATCATCAACGGAAAATAGTAAGCCATTGGTGTCGAGGCAAAGTTATATGTCTAGAGTGGTGAGTAATGATTAGTAAATTTGCATGTGTCTAAGAGGAGAAGAGTGACCATAACAATGATATTTATATTTATGATTATTCTATATCGATTGATTACTTTGTTGATTGATTTATAATTAGTTTTGGAGGAGAGGAAACATCTCAAAAATGGATTTTTAATAATATTAGTCCCACACCGAATTATTATCATTTCGTTTTTTTTATTATCTACACAAATATACACAAAAAAACGCGTAAAAATATATGTACATGTAATTAGGTTCCAACTGCTATTGCTGCAGCACTCGAAATATGTATGTCAAATGCTTCGCTAGTATTTATCACTTTGAGTTTTTATACAATGGTAAGAATATAACGCTATGTTATTTTGATTATTTCGTTAATTTAATAACTAACTAACTAACATTAATTAATTACCAATCAATAATAACAATAGGTTAAATCGTCAAGTCCAATATGGGTATTAGTATTTTCATTCATTTTCGGATTAGAGCAGCCACGACTCCTTCTCGTAGCAATAATCTCAATCATAAGTTTAGGCGTAGTCTTAACAGTAGCTGGCGAGACAAAATTCGATCTCACTGGCTTCACCTTAGTACTAGGTTCCGCGATAATAAGTGGTCTACGATGGTCAATAACACAAATGCTACTACAAAAAGAAGAAGGAATTAACAACCCAATTGCCACTCTTTACTACTTATCCCCGATAATGTGCTCCTTAATGATCGTTCTTTCGCTGATTTTCGAAAACCCGTTTGCTCGAATCGCCAACTCGGAACATTTTCGTGATGTTGCCACCGCATCACGTACACTCGCGTTGATGCTGTCTGGTGGACTTTTGGCGTTTTGTATGACCATCGCGGAGTTTGCTCTTATTAAAAATACGAGTACGGTGACATTGTCGGTTGCCGGAATCAGTAAAGAACTTTTGATTATTGGGTTGTCGGTTCTGATTAATCATGACAAGCTGACGAATATCAATTTACTTGGGTACGTTACTCTGTGTAATTATGTAATTATATTGAAAATCTATGAATTAACCACTAATCGATTATGTTTGTTTATTAATCCTACTAGATTGATTATATCTATATTTGGAATTGCCGCGTATAATTATTATAAAATACGAAAGAACAATCTTGGTGATCGAAAAGGCAAATACCAACAATTGGCAACACATAAAAATGAATCATCTGATTAATATATTTTTTACAATCTTCGAGATCTACAAAAATTACACACTATTACATATTGGGGAGTTTAATGATCGCCCAATAAAAAAAGATCCTCATACAATAATCAATGAGATCAAGGTTATACAAATAGTTTGCACAATTAACTATATTTATTTTCTTTATTAAAACAACGAACTAATTTTAAAATCTAAAACGCAAACTTCATAAACGTTTGGCAGGGAACTAATAAAGTGCCCTTCCTTTGACTTCAATTGATCAGTAAGATTATAATTACAACAAATACACCCAATTATTGCTAAGATACTTCTCGTAAAGATGCTTGGAATTGATTGCTCATCTTGGACAGTTATCTTTAGTGAGCTCAATTCTTTGAATTAACCTTGCTTTTTGAAAAACTAAGATTAATTTTTTAACAAAGAAAGACACTATCGTTATTGATTGGTATTCTAAAACCATAGTCACTTCAATTTTCTTTATATCCACAATTAAGATGCATCAATATCAATGATGATGTAAAATGATTACCAACATTAATACAATGTGTGTCACCCTAAATACTAGGGTTCTTAAACTCAATTAGTATTGTTCGGGGTCTTATTAACGCCTAGTTCAACTTTTTTTTTACCTCTAGAAAATTATTATTACCGCTACCAATTCTACCTTTTGCAAAAATCAGCTATTGAACAACAACTAGAGGTGGTCTCTCATCAAACATAGATTTTATAGAAATACATACACGTTGAATGAAAAGTACTATGCCGGATGTGATTTCAAAAGAAGACGAAAAACAAAACACGAAAAAAACTGTGACACAAATAGAGCAAGAAACCGAAACCAGAATCAAAGAAAATAGAGATTCGAAAATTAGCCAAGACACAGCATTGGGAATAGAAACAGCGGGAACAGAAACAGCGGGAACAGAAACAGTTGAAACAGAAGAGGAAACGTCGGATTTCTTAAAAACTTTGACGACGACGACAACAGAAAGGACACTTTTGCAAGAAAATCAATTTATAGAACAATCCGAACCTGATATTAGTCATACTAATAATAATAATAATAGTAGTAACGATAAAAGTAGTAATAGTAATAGCAATAATAATATAGATTTTTTATCAAATATATCAGAAAATTCATCAAACCCTATATTTGAGGATTCCAAAAAAATTATAGACGTTTCTAATATCTTTAATCCAGAAATTTCCGTGACAACAATGACCATTGCTCCAACTTCTATCAATAACAATAATAAGAACAACAACAAAAGTAATAATAGCAATAACAGGAATAATAATATTATAAGACCAGATAAAAGATCACGATATATGCTATTCTCTTCTCTGAAGAGCAATAATAGTTCAACGCCATCGATTGCCTCGTCTGCTTCAAATATTGACAACTCGGAAAAAAAGAAAAAATCGTCATCGTCACTCGAAAGTTCAACGGAAAATTCTGGGTCTTCGAAATTTAAATTATTTAAATGGGGTAATAATCAAGATTCTGAATATAAATCTTTAGAGAAGGCTCTAGGAAGGTAATTACTATTAATTCTGAAGATATTATAAGATTCAGAAGTGAGAACGCGACGATTTAGTTTTCTCTCCATATGTATATGTTAATCTTATTTCCATTTATTATTTTTTTCAAAATGCATAGATTTCAATCAAAAGATCGTTATAAAGTTGAAATTCTAAAAACTATCGTAATCCCATGGCTAAAGAAAAATAAAACAAGTAAATTCCTCTAATAAATTTTTTGGTATTTTATTATCTAATACTAATTTATTTTTGCTCTATTATAAATTTTATTAGTAAATGTCACCGATAGATTTCTTCAACATAGTCGTATGATATTACTGAAATGGTGATAATTTATTTTTGATAATCTTTGAATTGCAAAATGAATGAGTGGTTGAATTTTTATTTTTATTATTCTATTATCAAAATCGAACAGGTGGAATATTTTATTAGTGAATTTATCGAATGCGGCATACACCGATCGTTCCTTATATTTCGAATGTATATTATCTTTGATGACGAGGTATTTTTTATAAGCTTAACGCACTTTATTATATGCTTTTTATATTCATACTGATTCTTTTTTTATAATTAACCAAAGAAACGAATTCGAAGCTATCGGCAAGTTTGATATTATATTAATTTTATAATTTTTGAGAACAATTTAATAATTTGAGTTAAAAATAAAAAACAGACTGGATGGGTCCATTACCACAATACGAACGAGGAGACTCGTATAATGGAATTCTAATAGAATCAATCGTATCGTATCGAGGAGCTTTATTAGCGACACTTGGTTATGCTATCGATCGACTAAATCAAAAGGGTGTTTATTCGAACGTGATTTCTTTTTGTGCTCGGGTGTTAGGTAAATAATAATAATAATTATTTTTTTTACGATTATTGCTATTATGTCAGATTATTTTTGCATAGTCACGTACTTATTTTTTTCTGTATAGCATTATGCTTTTTTAAAATTCCAAGCGTTGGGTTTGTTTTATTGCAAGCATTACCGGTTAATAAATTGCACATTAAGAGAATGTTAACGGAAACTCTTGGAAATTTTGAATCGAAGTAATTACAAATTTGTAAAATCTGAATTAATATTTGGTGAAATATTTTTATTCTAATTTTGATATTTTTAAATATTTGATAGTGAAGAATGGATAAGCAAACAAAACGAAAAAATTCAGCCAATATTTCCCGATCATCTTGGTATTCTCTGTTTTTCGAATGTACGATCGTGGTGGCGACAATTCGAAAACGCGAAAAAGATTGTGGGTGAGCCGCCTATCGAGATGAGTGGTAATTGGATGAGAAGGTAATAAAGAAAATAATGCAATCAAACAAATCGAATCAATTTAACTGCTAAAATTAATTTTATATATCATCATAGCTAATTATCTGTCATTGTTATTGGTTAATAGATGGCAAAGTGACGATAGCGAATTATTTTTCTCATTTTACAAACATTATCACGTTGTTCTGAGAAACTACCTATCGCCACACCTTTCGTCATTAATAACTTCAACTACAACTACAACAAACACCACACCGACAGCATCACCATCACTACCAAAATTTTTATCAAATCCCGTGAATTATATTACAGCACCGGGTTATTTACATTTATCTGCTTTTTTCCTAAACAAAATAGAATCTTTGGTACATCGTAATATACACACCATCACCACTGTGATACAATTTGAGCATCCTCGTGTAAGTAATGGTCCTGGCGGTGGTATTGGAGGTCAAATGTCCCCGAATGGATCACCAAGTTCTATTAACGTTAATGCTTCTGCTGTAACTATTGGAATGGGATCATTTAATGGTAATGGTAACAATGGTAATGGAAAACCCAAAGTTCTTGAAATGGCTGGACGTAGATTTGTTGAGACGCTTGTCTCGATTGTGGAACATAGCATGTATGAAGATATGTGTAATCATTGGATAAAAGCCGTCGTGAAGAAAACAAACATGTATGATGTAGAAGGCGTATTTTGTAAGCATTCCTCTTGCATTCTTGCGTCTTTTTATGTATGTGAATCAATTCGATAAACTATTTAATATTATTGTAAACAGGTCTGCTAGATTTTCTCGATACGCTAATAATGGAACTGGATGGAAGGTAAATCCTATTTTTTTCTAATTATTTACTTAATTTAAATATTAATATTTTGTTTTTTTATTTTTTTCATAATTTTTAAAAAAATAATGATAAAAATAATTAAATAAAAATATATTATTTATTTTTTGCTAGAATTTATAATTATTTTTGTTTAATATTCTATATATATATATATATGTATACACAAAAATTATAAAAAATAGGGATAGTATAGATACATCCAATGACCACCTAAACCCTGACAATATAAACATAAATTTATCCACCTCATTTTCTTCCATCAGTTCATCCAATTCGTCTAGTAGTAGTACTGGCGGACTAATCAACATCCTCGACATACCATTCTATCTCTCGTTAATCAAATTACTTTTGAACCAATCCGATCACACAATCACCCTGTTACGCACCATAAGTTTTATATACACTCATTTCTGTCTGTTCACCTCGAAACCGAGTTACCTCGGTCAACTGGTCAAAGATTTGTTATTGGAGGAAGAGATGTTTGAGCGGTTATTTTGTCATTGGTCGCGGAATGTTCGCGTTTATTTTATGCGATTGTTGGTTTGGCGCGTTTCGAGGGTTGTCGGTGGGATAGGTTTTGTCGATCGATTTTATGGGACTGGTGTTGGAAATGGAGGTGCAGGAATTTTCGAGGAAGAAAAACGACGAAAACAGGATGGAGAACCGATTGATAGTGGTGTGGCGGTTGGCGTTAATGCTGAAGAGAGCATGATCGAGTGAGTAATTGGCTTATATATATTTAATTTTCTTCATTATTTCTCTCACCCCTGTTAACATTTATATTTTAAATTTTATTTTTCTAATTTACTGATTAAATTAGAATTGTATTATTTACATTACAAAGTCGAATTGAAAATATACGACTTTGTCATGAAATATTTTCAGATGATATTGTGGAGAATCGAGGTGATGAAGATGCTATAGGAAAGGGTGTTGAAGAAGAAGCGAAATCGTTGTCTTCTTCTTCATCGTCTTCAACATCGTCTTCTAAGCATTCATCCCCAAATGATAGCAATAATAGCACAGCTGTTACCGGTGAAGAAAATGGCGAACTAGACACATCAACAATAAACATCAAGGACAAAAGACAATCACTTATCTATAATAATGACATTTCTAATACTAATAATAATGAATCATTAAATAAAGACACACAAAAAAGAATTAGTTCCTTATCAACATTATCTTCTTCCTCATCCACTCATACAGCAATCTCTTCTAAATCCTCTCCGTCTGAAAATCAACCAGAATCATTGCCACCATCAACACCCTCATCCACACCCACTCGCCAAAATTCAAATCAAAAAAGGAAAATGAAAATGAGCGCCAAAAGTTTGATTGCGATGCGATCTTCTGCATCCGCATCTACATCCGGTAAAGATCTTTCTTCGGCCGCTTGTTTCTTTCGTTGGATACTCCCAACCCCTTCATCGTCATCATCAAAGAATTTTCCCCACCCTCATCCCAATTATCATAAGTTTGGACCAAGATTATCTTCATATAATAATAACACAAATAATAACAATAATAATAACTCCACAGTTCAATCGACGACGAAAACGAAAACGGCTGCCACCAATCCCAATAATACAATAACAAATTCGATAACAAATAATCTTGTTTTGGACTCTACATCCAGAAGCAAACCAGCAACAAAAAGTAAGCCGCGGGTCACGCATTATGCACCACATCGTCACGTGTACGCCAGTAAAGCTATACAAGAATTCGATGCGGTAAATCAAGAATATTTGGAATGGTGCGCACAAACAGCAAATACCAGAATTCATAACGGAAATAACTTAAATATCAACGGTAATGGAGCTTCGATAAATGAGAGTTTTGGTAGTGGTGGTATCAATAATAATAACACGGGAATCCTGTCGATGCTAATTCGATTTCCTGGATTGGTGGTTGAATATCCAAAATATTTTGGTACAGGTGGAGGATCGAATGGTGGAATTCCCATGATCTAAAGTAATATTATTGATTATTATTACTACCTACCATTAATAAGTATGGATACCTTACCAAAAGGAAAAACAATTTCATTTTCATTGTAAATGAATACGCGTAAATTATGATTTGTACTTTTTATTCTTTTCTGTAAAAAATTTATTTTTAGAGAGGACAATTCTTTTTGATGGCATTATTAATTATTATTATTATTTATTATTTTTTGTGGTCGTTATTATGGTTTTTTTAAAAAATCACAAAACTTTTTAAATTTTTATTGTCTTTGGTGAGTTTTAACGATTAACCTTTCTCCAATCTATATTTGCTTAGATTTTTTTGATTTGATAATAATAATGTTATTGTCATTGATTTTTTTATTTTTTATATACATAAATAGAAAATAAATGTATTTATAATTATTTTTGGATAATGTAATTTATCTTGTTTTCATTCTTTTTATTATAATATACAAATTCAATTACATTCTTTGCAAACTAGATCCAAGAATTTCAGGAATATGCTAAAGTAATTTTATTATTTTTGTGAATTTGTTTTTTGAAAATAATAAAAAATTGTATTTTTCATTGTGAATATTTTATTATGTTCTAAAATTTATATTTGGAGCAGATTGCAACAAAGCCAAACAAAGTGAATATTTGAATATGTAAGCTAATGGTTGATGTAATTGGAAAATTAACTAACATTTTGGGAAGACTTGATTTAGTAACACAGCTTTGGCTCATGCACAATATATAAACTAATTTTTTATTACATTTTTAAATCTAATCATAAAACTTTTTACTTGGTTACAACATGCTTATTATAAGACTATTTCTATATAAAAATATAAATATGAAACTAATTTATATTAAATTTATCATGAAACCTAAAAATTACAGCACTATTAGAAGTATTTTAAAAAAAGAACAATGTAAAAAAATTGTCTTTTACGTTGTCACGAGTCCAGGGTTCAGGTAGGTAATCTCGTGACGTGAGTGTTCAACCAACGTCTATTTC